ATATGTTGTGATAGAACCACGTTTAAAATAGTTCTTTTCACACGGTTAACAACCAAGCTCCATCACATCTTACAGATTCCATTTTACCAGAACTTACTGTATCTATGTGTGTTTCCATGAATCCCTCCTTGACTTTCATAACAGCCACACTTGGCACACAAGCCCAACTTAGGCACCTGCCAGTTGTTTTTTATATCACATATTATGATTTTATTATGTTGCCTAGCTACCGCCAGTCACAAAATGACCAGTTTGAACTTTTATGCTCCTATAACACATTGTAAAGACATCCTATTGTTTTAATTTCATTGCAATAATGTCTCATTCACATCCACAAAAGTTGAATTATGCATTCAGTATTAGGCTGGATCAAGTTGCCTAGCAACCACCTAGCAACAGGCTAAAATGAGCAACTTTTACTGTATAAACAATATCTACCACCACTATTTTTCTTAAACTTTTCTCAGTGTTGGTAGATATATCTGTTTGCAGCAGAACAGCACAAAGAGTTCACAGATAATACTGTGGCTGGTGTGTACAAGTTATGCTAATACAGCACTGTGCTGTCAGACTGCAGCCTTTGTGGCTCCTACAGTTCTCCAGCTTATAATGGGAGGCAGAGCCTTGAGCTACTAGACACATCTTTTGTGGAAATAGCTAGTTTAAGCTGTGGACAGACACCCTCTCTCTTCCTTCCTTTAAGGTTGAAATATTTCCTTTTTGGACAAAGATTACAGTCAGAGCTAGATGAGGTAACGCAAAAAAAAAAAAAATTTTAAAATGCTGCTTTATGTTCAAGCTGCTAGTGGAAGCTCTCGTGAAGCCTGCTCTTTCACTCCACATAGATTCAAATCATCTCATTGTTACATGTCATTAAAATTGTGTGCTCCCAAGGTTTATTTCTTTTCTTCTTTCTTCTTTGGCATCTTTTCATGCTCTTGTTTTCTTTCTTCTTTTGTTTCATTTCACTGGCTGCTGCCAATTGCTGCCCACCTTAAGCCTGGATCTTCTCTTTCAGTCCTCAAAATCATAAGTTAGCTGTCTTCCTTGCTCACAGGGACTTGCTGAATTCTTGAGTTTGTAGCTACAAATTCGTAGTGTTGTTATAAAAACACTACAAGCTAAAACTGATACCAGTAAAAAAGGAATTAGACAGCCTCTCACTGGAAATGTAACAGCAACATAAAAACAGAAATGCAAACAATGTTTTGTATCTCTTGTGTGCATGCTACCTGATACTTGAGGTTAGTGGGTTCAGGGGAGGCGGCAGCAGCAGGTGAGGGATGATTCTGAGGTTTGGAGAAACTCAAAGGGCCAAATGTCATCTCTCCTCCTTCTCTGTCCTTCCATCCCTGCGGCTCTCCGTCAGACACAACCCCCTCCTCATCTCCCTCCAGCACAAACGCATCGTCGATGGTAAACTGTGTTGCCATGGTGATTCCCTCTTACACCCTGAGGTCCTGTAGCCGGATGCTCACTGTGATTTAAGAGTAATAACGAATGTTTTATGGATTTATGGATTTTTAATCCCTCAAATCGCAGGAAACAGCCTGTGAAAATACTAACTCAGCAGCTGCTGAGTTTTCTCTCACCAATCACAGCATTTCCCTTTAAACGTTTAAAGTTCGCTCATACATGCTACACTACATAAAAACTAAATAAAGTAACTCCACCACTTTGGTTTAAAAGGCGAAAACAGCTGCCGTGCTGCCTACACGTAACAGCGGATGGGATCGAGGCTAAGTACAACAGAGCAGAGGCTACGCGGCTTTCCTGTAGGTCTCTGCCATTGTTTGTCCTCATTCTTCTGTCCGATCAGATGACCAGGAGGAAAACTTACTGTCTTAAGTAAATCTTTTCTCCTGCGAAGAAACTTCGACTTCTGAACTTTGTTCGGAGACGAGTCACATTTTTGTAAGCCCTGAAAAAAGTGGTTTTAAAGCCTTCTGTTAGCAGTATCTTAGTTTTGCTTCTGTAGTGCGACTTCTTTAGAAGTTTGGACTCTCTTCTTTTTTTGGCAACCGGTAATCGATTAGATACGTCTGATTACGCCCAAAGCGCTCTCTTCGTGTGCGAGCCAGGGCGCCGAATCGAGTGTCGTTTTATCGATCGATCCGCTAACTTTTGTTATCGAAGGAGAAAAAAACTGAAGAAACTGTGTCAATCATTACAATTTATGAGATTCCTACGAAAAAATAGATGGCAAAGCATTACATAAGTCACTCGAAATTTCTATACAGTAAGTTGATTTTTTTTGGTTTAAAGCCTGGAATTTTGAGACAATAATTCAAAAGGGCGTTCACTGTGTACGTGTGTATGCTGAATAATATAAGATAGCTAAAACAGATTAACGAATAAGTTAGGATAAATGATAAATACGATAAAATGAATAGGAAGAAAATGAAAAGAAAGGAACAAACGTAAGTGACACAGCTGTCACATGATGTGTGTGCAGCTTTTTGTTGCAAGTTAGAGCTGTGTTATATAATTTAATACAATGCATCTCGTTAAAGATGGTCACGTTTGGTTCTCATTAACTTCAGGGATAGTATAGAACTAGCAAAGCTGTATTTTATTCGACGCAGTTTGTCAGTCTTCTTTCATAATTTTGATCTGGTGTAAAAACACAGTAAATATAAAAAATAATTATTTTATTAAAAGCACGAATCAATTCAAAAACATCTTGACCTGGGTTTTTTAGGGCACAACCTATCAGAATATCAACAAAAGTGTATGTTTGCATATTCGTGTTCATGGACTGTGGTCATCTAATGGAGGAAAGGCATCCCGTCCAAACCCACAAGCCAGTAATATATTACCAAGGCTAATTAATGTCAATTAAAGAGCTGGAATCTATTTTGTGCGTTTTTATCTTTTGCTTTTAATCAAACGGCATTTCAGCTTTTCATTTACTGGAGTTTTAGTGTATTTTGTTTTAACATATTCAATATTCATTAGCAGTGCACTTAAGAACTGATAACAACAAATCAGCTAAATGAATGTATTCTCCATTTGGATTTAAAGACACATATAGATTTACTGGATCTTTGTATTTACATGCATAATAAATTTGGTAAAGCTGCCTCTTCTCCCATAACTAGAATGATTTTTTTTAAAAAGGCTCTAAGGAAGTATTTATTTTGATATAACTTGCTTTGAAATATCTCCAGTTATGGGTATGCTGATGAAGAGGAAAACCAGTTGAGATAGTCGACACACTACAGTAAAAAAGAAATATTTCACAGGACTTGATGCTGTCCAATGCATTCAGGTGTGTGTTAATGCAATGCCATATTCCCTCAAGTATTAGTCATCTCAGCAAATCACCTAAGGCCAAACTGTGTGATGCTCAGAGAAACTGCAAAATACTGCACGTCTTAGTTCATAAAAATACAATAAGACAAAGACTCAACAACAAAGGTTTGTCAGGAGAAAGCCTCTTTTCTCTAAAAATAACATGGTAGCATCTGAACAAACAACAAAACACACGCGACAATATCCTTTGCACAGATTAAACCAAAGCAGAGATGTTTGGCCATAATGCACAGAGACACATTTGTTGAAACCCAAACACAGCATAGCAGCACAAGTACCTCATACCAGCTGTAAAGCACAGTCGTGGTGAGGTGATGATTTGGGCTTGGACATGGACACTTTGAAGCCACTGAGTTGGCCATTTAACTCCTCTGTACACCAGAGTCAAATGTGAGGCAGTCTCTCTGGCACCTAAAGTCCAAACTGGGTTATGCAACAAGCAAGTCTACAACAGAAATGCTGAAAAAGACAAGAAATCTTATTCTTATTGAAATGCTGTGGTGAGATCTTAAAAGCACTGTAAACATACAAGTGCCTGTAAACCTCAATGAACCAAAGGGACTTTGTAAAGAAGAGTGGGTCAAAATTCCTCCACAACAATGTGAGAAACTGATAGTTATACAGAAATTGTGGTTCTACAAGCCATTGTGAATCATGGGGTGTATGGTTTTTTTCACAGTACTCTGTGCAGGATTGCATAGAGTACTGTGAAAGCTTTCTTTGTTACATGACTGTAAAAGATGCAAGAGAGCCAGTTTACAAAAATGGTAACACTTAACTGTAACCTAATTTATTGCCAGTTTTGTTGGTTTTTGTGTATGTTTGTTTGTTTGTTTTAAAATGATTTTCATATTTTATGTGTTGGGTAACATCCTAATCCCAAATAATCTAAATATTATATCTCAGCAAAAAACAACAACAAACAAACACAAACACACAAATACAATAAATAATAATAATAAAAATATGATTAGGAAATAAAAGTAATGTAGAGAACCGTTGAGTAAACTATGCTTCAGATTAGGTACACCACCTATACCAGGTTGATCTATATTAATGAAATAGAAGTTGTTGTTTTGTTTTTGTTTTTCCACTAATATTGTATGAGGTTTTTGTGGCTCCATGTTGTGGTGCTTTGCACCTGAGAGGATCCACAAATCTTTCTGCGGTTGTGTTTAGAAGGACATGTAAAAAACAATCTGCCAAATCAAACATGCAGAGCTGCCCACCGTCTCACCCCTTTGAGAATTAGGAAGCAACCGAAAAAAAACGTTAAAGTCGTTCTGTTGTATGATGTTTCTACACAAATAGTAAGTCAAGTAAAGATGTCGCCTGCCAGTTAGGACAAGCTGGGTTTTTACTTTTTTATGCCCTTGTTTCTCTACCCACCACAACCTTCAGCAAACTAACATAAAACAGTTTAGGAGTGAAACTGTCTGTCTTCCCCCATAATACCCGTGTTTCACTTTTCTTGGCTGAGATGATGTGTTTTGCAAATTCTGCATTAAAGCACTGATACTAGAACTAATGGAATTTATTTGAAATTATCTTTGAAGGCGAAATAAACACTGAAATTTGAATATTTTCACTTAGTACCTGTTGCCAACATGTGAAATCATGTGATTTCCAATAAGTCAGAAGACTTGCATTATGCAAACAAACATCTCTAAACCAACAATCACAGATTAGTCATTGTTGGTTGCAGTTCAGGCGAGCAGATAGTAAGAGCTGCTGGTTGCAGTGAACAGTGGTTCAATGTCAGAGAAACTTTACTGACAAATACTCGTATCAGGACTGAATCTGGACACACGGAAATTCAAGAGCTGTAAGTTATGTATTTGTATGTGTGCGTGTGTGTGCGTGTGTGTGCGTGTGTACGACTAACCCAACTTGAATATGTTCAGCTACTTCCTAAAATATGCAAACATATTTGACATGAACAGGAAAATGTGTATATGTGTCTTTTGATTTTTGGAAATCTAATGAGGCAGTGAAATCCTTGTAATAACAACAGTTTAAGAAACTTTGAATGCAGACTGATATCACTACTTCACAGACTGCGCCACATATTGATCTCTCCTCCGGCTTGGTGCCACATTAATTTTGAAATCCTCTCTCGTTTGCAGATGGGACAAAAGGCCACACTTTGCTTCTTGCTGCAGCTCATTTTTGAGGTAAATCTGAAGAAGTGCAGGACAATATCTTTACCAATCCCACAGAAACTTAAATGGCAGGTGTTTTGTCTCTTAAATTTGTGAAAGTTTCATTTGATGTCTTTCTTTCCTCCTGGTCAGCTGTCATCATGCACAAAAATCAGGGTGATACCTGACTCTACGCTGGAGCTTCCTTGTCTCCCAGCAAATAATCACTTCATCGGAGTGGAAGAAATCACATGGAAATTCAATGGTTTTAAACGGCTTCTGTTTTCAGTGTGATGCAAATATTTGCTGCTTTTATGTACACATATGTATATAACACTTGGTCTTTTTTAAACTACAGGTGCCATCCTGTTTCAAAACTATCAGCCCGTCGCTTCAGACTTTTCCCTCCGCTTTCGCTCTGTCACTAAAACCAAAGAGGGCACGTACGAGTGTCTGTTAAAGGGGAGCGATATGGAAATAGTACGAAGATTTGACGTCATAGTTGATGGTGAGACTCTTTCGTCATCATACGAGCACTTTTAATTTTACAGTTAGTGGAGCAACGAACAATAAAGTGTTTGCTGTTTGTCTGCTTTTTGTTTCTTTTTGCAGAATTCACTGACTATCAAATGAAAGTATTTACAAAGTCAGATGTTAAACTCCCTTGCAATATCCCAAGTTCCAGAGAATTCAGCGCTGCACTGTGGTTCAAAGAAAGTGCAAACGGAAGAATAAAGTTGAATCTTGAAGATGACTCCGCAGATGATAATAAAAAAATAGAGCTGATTTTTCCAATAGACCACGATCAGAGCATCATGGTCAAAAACGCTGGCATGGAGGATGCTGGTATTTATGAATGTGAACTGGATGATGGAAAAAAGCTGAGCTCTATAAACCTTACTGTGGAAGGTAGGGGGCTTGTCAACTATAATAGAGATTTAATAGATTTAATGATTTTCACTGCGCGTTGAGTTAGTAAGAGGAAAAAAAGGATCGATTAGTTGCATAAAACATTTTTATTTATGATTTGTTTCAGTTTTAGCTCCTCCTACAGCTCTTCCTCACACATGCCAAGGCTCCACCTCACCATGGGAGCCCTGCCCGGAGGAGAACAGCCGCACAGCAGAACCCATACTGAAGGAGTCCATGACAGAGTTTTCAATGAAGCTGTATTATTATCTCAGAGAAATATATCCTTCTGGCAACATGCTCTTCTCTCCTGTCAGCATCGGTGGGGTGCTCTCCCATTTGTTGTTAGGTACGAAAAGAGAGGCGAGTCGCTATTTTAATGTAATCACGTTGAAAATGTTTAGCATTCATCATGTTCTCCAGTGAATCCTAGAAAAATGACAATGAACTGTTCATTCCTCTGAAGTCTGAAAAACAAGGCCATCCCATAGACACAACACATCCACTGTCATTCATGAACACTAGAATGGTGAAAAGGTGGCGCTGTTGCATTGTTTCACACAGTTAGTCTGTAAACACAGGCACGTAGGTCATTTTTAGCGATTCTAACATGCAGACATGTATTTTTTAGGCCCTAAAATATTTGGTCAGTGACGCAGTTTTCCAGTTTCATACATCACCATGTTAAATTTGAGATAAACCAACCAGATAAACCTGCAGGATACATTTCATGTTTCAGTTTTGCAGAATTTTAGAGGGTGAATTAATACAGTAATGAACAAAGCCAAAGAAATAACAGGTTACAGATTGATATTAAATTCCTCTTCTTTTTCTGAACTGGTCTGGCTTTTGTTAGGTATTATTGGTTAACGTCTTATGTGGTTAGCTCTGTGATAGACCTTTCCAGGATGTGCCCAGCTTTTAGCCCTATGACAGCTGAAGAAAATGAGTGGAAGATGATCGATGATTGGAAATGAATTGAACTGAATGGATGTTTTGAAGTGTAACTTAAAAATAGAAATGATGCTGTGATCATACAGCACTGCAATCTTCTGTGAATGTCCTGGACTTACAATGTTTCTGAGCTCATCAGCGTAACTAGTGAAACTGTTTATTTGACCACTCCTAATATTCCCACTCTCTCCCTCTGTGTTGGAGAGTGTTTTATATATAAAGCCTAAAGATGGCCCGTTTTTCTTCTATTATGTCTTTTGACCAGATGTTATGAGTTCAAAAAAAAAGCTTTTAAATGTAAATGTTGCACCTGAAATAATCTTCAGATCTTTCACCTGCTGAATTTATTAAGAAATAACAACAACAACAAAAAAAGCTCACAGCTGTCCACAGCACAGTACATTTTCCCATTACATTACATTTAAGGGTCATGCCATATTTTTCTCCTTAAACTAAAGGAGCCCCTGGAGTAAATGTTTCCATGTTTCAAATAACTGTGACTTAAAAATGTTTTGGTACACAGCTAAAAAGACAAAAATGGATTCAACTGTATTTTTAAAATCAAACATGGCTTGCAGCTTCCTATAATGTACTAAACTTATTGTTATTGTCTAATTGTACCTTCAGGTGCAAGGAACGATACCCGTAAGGCCATTGAGAGCGCTATCTGCGTGCCTCACGACTTCCACTGCATTCACTCCCAGATGAAGAAGCTGAGAGAGAAGCTGGCCGGCTCCCTGCTGATGGCCTCTCAGATCTACTATAATTCACGTATTACTATCACAGTGTGAAGTATATCACAGAGCAGAAAATCACAGATCGTGGGAGATAAAATGATTTCTATTTTGGCTCTCCTCCATAGACATGAATCTGAGTGAGTCCTTTACCGACCAGTCGATCCAGTTTTATGATGCGGAGCCCACAAAGCTACTGAATACCACTGAGGAAAACACACAAATGATCAACAGCTGGGTGGCAGAAAAGACCCAAAATAAAATCACAAAGTTGCTTGACTTTGTCCCACCAAGTTCACAGCTGATCCTGCTCAACGCCGTCTCCTTCAGCGGTCAGTAAACTGTGCGCACACCTTATGCACATTTCAAAAACGTGGAAACTGATAAACTTTGTTTACGTGTGTTTTAGGTCAGTGGAAGGTCAAGTTTAAACCAAAAAATAAAAAAGGACATTTCACAAAATTTAATGGTGATGTGGTAACGGTGCCTCTTCTCTATCATGACAAGTACATGGCAACTATGATGTATGATCCTCACCTAAAGGCACAGGTAAGGAACAAACCACCAGCTGACACTTTTCACAGCAATACGTGTCTAAATCCTACACAGACCTTTCTGCCACAGGCAACAGAAGTGACATCCTGTCTTCATTGATTCCTACAGGAAACATGTGTGTTATGTTTCTTTAATGTTGAGCTTTTCATCTTTAATGTACATCTAAACTGCTCTCCTAACTCACAAAACATACAGTTTGAACAGTAGCTTAGGTAATGTTAGCATCATAGAAAAATATAAATCCAGATTTCATCTGTCATTATACGGTTATTTTAATTTTATACTACAATCGCTATACAGTTTATTCCTGTATAAGTAAATATGCTAAAATACTTCAGATCTATAGCATTCAATTTCCTGTTCCCCAAAGGGTCAGTTTCTTGTCTCTAGTCTTGTCTCTTGAGCTATGACAGGTATCAGAGTCGTAACCAGAATCCAGCATCTGATAGTCCATAATTCCGGTGACCTGCAGTCCTGTGCAAAAGTCTTGAGCCACCTCTCCTTTCCTTATATTTTACTTCCAAGGAACCAGACGGTATCATTTTTTAAAGTGGTCTGCAGCTCTCCCGGCTTTCTGAAGGTCCCTTTATAGTTTTTCTTTGGACATTGGTTGCTTTTTCTTTCACTCATTTTCAGTCCAGGCCTGTGTAACTGACCATTTTCATAAGAATGCTATTACTACGAAAATGTTTTTTTGTTCCTCAAGCCATTTAACACTGACCAATGAAATGAACAAACAAGTAAAGAACCAATTTAAAATTCTATCTTCAGGCACAAACACAATTTGTATTTTTTTTTTGTTGACTCTATGAAAAATAACAAAGATAACACAGTTTTAAGAGCATTAAATAGTATTTTTGCACCAACAAGGTGATTTTAAAAAAGCTTTTATCTAAAGGGTTGGTGTATTTCAACATGCTGTGGAGTGTGCCCTTAAAAAAAAAAGAGGAAAATGGACAAGTGGAAGACCAAAAAACAAAAACTATCTATGTTTCCTCAGAGAGTTCAGGCTGTGTTGAAGAATAAAATCAGATATTCACTTTCAGGCATGTTAGAATTGTACAAACTCTGTTTTTGCCATATATATCGTATTTTCATTAAATTGCTAAAGATTTTCCAAGGAAAATGAGCGATGGCTCAAGACTTTTGCACAACAGTAGATATCTTTAAGTTGGTAATCATGTCGTTGGCCTCAGTGCACCGTGGTTTTGCTCAGATGAGTTAGAGAGTCAACAAAGTTACTAAATTTACTGTACCACTGGTGCATTTTCTTTTTTCACTCATTACAAAACAATACACAGAGAATATTTCCATCTCATGGACAACCAGATGATTTAAACAAAGTTAATGCCAGCCAAACAGTTACAGGCACTGATACTATCATGTGTATTACGATGATGAGATAATTTTTTTTTTTACATCTCAGGTTTATTTTAAATGCCAGTGGTAAAAACAGATGGTCTCATAATGATCTCTTTTGTCACTTATTAACACTTCGAGTATTTTTTATCTTTTTTGGCCAACAGGTGGCGAGGTTTGCCCTCACAGGAGACAGCAGTCTTTACATCCTGCTGCCTTCCACCAACACAGAGGCAAAGCTGCAGGAGATCGAGCAGAAGATGACAGACAGGACTGTGGTTCAAATGATACAAAACATGAAAACAGCATCTCCTCAGCATATTGAGGTCACTCTGCCCAAAATCAAACTGAATTTCCAGCCGGAAATGAACACGCTTATCAAGAAACTAGGTTGGTTCATCTTCTGTGCTCTCCTCTCTTTCCAACCCAACATCTGACCTTTTTTTGTATTACCAAAAATAAACACCACCCATGCGTTCATCCTGTGCAGTTTAGCTAGCAGTAAACATTAGGTTCCCATTCATGAAATATGTCTCTACGTTTGCTTTTTGATCTCAAAGCATCTCCACCACATGCTTGGCTCTCTTACCTGCTTTCACCCTCACTACTACCTTTTCTGTACTTTTCACTCCCTTTCCAGGACTGTCAGTGCTTTACGAGGGTGCCGACCTGTGTGGCCTCTACCCTCAGGAGAAACTGTTCCTGGACGACGCCAAACACAGAGCCTTCCTCGCACTGACCGAACAAGGAGTGGAGGCCGGCGCTGTCACCACCTTGTCCTTCTCCCGCTCCTACCCTTCCTTCTCCGCCCTGCGGCCTTTCATCATGCTGCTGTGGAGTGACCACACCAATGTGCCGCTCTTTATTGGCAGGTTGACCGAGCCGTGAGAGGAGAACATAACAAGGGATGGGGGGTAAAATGTGCAGGAAACGACAGGCAATGTTTAACAAAGGCTGCTTTGCTGCTGTGTTTGAAGTAATTTGAAGACTTTTTCTGAAAATTCAGTTGTTAAGAATCAATATTGCTTTAAATAGTCTAGTTACTAAAGTGAGCAGTGACTTGTGGATTTGGATGATCTTCCGAGATGATGATAAATAAACACATATCTACACAACACACATGGTGCCTATCTTATGTTCTTGAAGAATCACATGTTCAAAGGAGGACAGACGCCCACTGATACAGCTCTGATTTATTTTGAGAAGTACTTACACAAACCCACCACAGGATGGCAGCCATACTGTGTGATTGACATGGACAGTGAATACACAGAGACTGCAACAGTGATTTTCCCATCTCATTCCCTCCTCAGCCCTCCCGCATCATCACCACTGATATTAATTCAAGGAAGACGAGTGTCAAAATCGGCGACAGTAAAGGTTTTTTGTTCGTTAAAGCGAGAGCTTGCTCGGAAAAGCGAAGCGAACTGAGCAAAAAAGGTACCCTGAATCGTCGTATTCACAAATAAACAAATACACAGATGGCGAGGAGGCTGAATGCATGGCACGTCGGCATTCAGAACGATCAGCTAAGGTTGCACTCTATTATACAAGCTGATGGGGATTGCTAAACATGCAGCTGTACTGCAGATTGAAATGATTACATAAGCAAAGCAGGGTCAATAGACAAAGAGTCAGAAAATTCAGTGACTGTAAACAAAACGAACAGATCCAGAGACGGAAACAAATAACCACCCAGCCAGAAATGTGAACTCTATTTGATCACTGCCAACCAGAAATGTATCCTTAATGCCTGGATAATACGATAATGTTGTTTTGGTTTGATTATCTCACTGCCGACGTGCTGGGAGTCTCAATGTGCATAGACAGAGTGCAGAATAAACCTACCACCCTTTCCCAAATCTTACTGACATTATTTAAGCTCTGAATGAAAATATGCTTAAGCCTAAAAGTGTTTTTTATTAGTGTCCAAGCCCTTTATTCTTATCCTAATCCAACTTTGGAGGATCTACTCTTTTTTTTTTTGCAGTCAGCAATCAGACATTCACAAGGTTTTCGAAGGACACCAAGAATATGAGCAGCCAGATCGATTCGACAGTTAGAAAACTCCCCGAGGCCACTGACCCACCGTGCATGTGCTTCTCTGAACAAGTGTATGGCCAGAGCTGCTGTGACAGATGAACCAGGGGACGACATCCGATATCCTGGCAGGCATGTAGATAAGTTTTATATATAAGATGAAAATGCTGAAATGTGCACAAAGATCCACGGCATGCATGCAGCTCGATGAAATTGGGATCTTATTGTTGTTGGATCTGTGCGTTTCCACTGACCCTGAAGGATGTAATCCCCCTTTACACGAGAGGTTAAATTATAGGAAGGGTCTTGTACCAAAAGCAAAGTTTTATCAGGAATTCCTGTGTTTAATAGACATGTAGATGATTTAGAAGAGACCTGATATTTAATAGGTCAAAAATAACGGGACAATCAGACGAAACACTGACTCCCTCTGATGGCTGATCTCACCTTCAGCCAGATGTCTTCTACCAATATCGAATGTCTGAGGTCGTGCAGATGTGGGTTAGGGAACCTTTTCGAGCTGTTTATAAAAATCAGATAACCGAACTAATCAAATTCCTGTATCTTTAAATTCAAAATATGTGACACCACACTGACGAAAGAACATGTTGCATAACTGGTGTTTCTGTTGGAGCAAAAATTACAGTCACTGAGGTAAACTGTCTTGAATCCAGATGAAATTTGTTTCAGAAATGCTGCAACACAGTACAGGATACTCTGAAAGACATCGTTTTGCCTGCTGTGGACACAGCTCTGGGCTTTCATCAGACAGGAGCAGTCAAAGATTACGCACCACAGTATTTGCCTTTCTTAAAGTTGCTCTTTTGGCTTTCTGGCAGTGGGAGACAGAGATAGCAAAGGCCTGGAACAAGTGGCCGGGCGCACTCGCACCACTGAGGCCTGCGGTGGTAACAGAGGATTTCTTTCTTTTGTCCTTTTTTTAAAAAACATTCCTTCGCACCTCTGCGCTTCTGAATTCGGATGGAGATGTTTTGAATGGGCATGACGTGAATACAGATTAACAGACGCTGCACAGGCAGGAAAAGCAGGCACTCATAGTCTCACAGCCTTCACGCACGCGCACATTTTGACACATTATCGTCTCATGTGAAGGTGGATAAAACACCACTGTTACCAGAAGACAATGAAAATACATAAAAACAATGAAAAGGTAAAGGTAGAAATCCACCGAACGGATCTTTTTGTGCTTTATAATACGGTGTGTTGTTTTGCATTAGATAGACATCCACGAAGATAAGAGACTTCTCACGACAATCATCCTTTCGTAACATTCTCCCCCCC